ATTCATATCTAATGTAGTAATGTAAACTTGTCTAATTATGTTGAATAAACTGCACCTGTATTCTACAAATAAATTTACCACGTAAATATGTACTGCACCAAGATCTTGTTACTTGATAGAGTTGAAAAGTATATCCTGGTCCAGGATATAGTTTGAAGATATACCTTGGTAATATATCCTGGCTCAAGATATAGTAGGACATGGTTGAAAGATATATTTCAGGATATACTTTAAAGATATAAATTGGTAATATATCCTGGTTCAGGATATTGTTAATAAATATATCTTGGTTTAGGATATAATCAAAATATTGGTACAACTGAGAAATATACTCCCAAAATGTGTACCTTCCAAGAAACATATCTTTGTAATGTCCGCTTTTTTCATTATAACACTTTGTAGTGTCCGCTTTATTGATTAGAAAATTGTGTAGTGTCTGCTTTTTTTCATTACAACACTTTGTAGTGTCCGCTTTTTTCATTAAAAAACAATTGTGTAGTGTCTGCTTTTTTCATTACAACACTTTGTAGTGTCCGCTTTTTTCATTATAACACTTTGTAGTGTCCGCTTTATTGATTAGAAAATTGTGTAGTGTCCGCTTTTTCTATTACAATTCTGTGTAGTATCCCCTTTTTTCATTAGAAAACTCTGCAGTATTCACTTTTTTCATCAGAAACCTTTGTGGTCTGCCTTTCTGATATATTGTCACTCCAGTAAACAGCTCTTCATCATCTGGAATTCATACACCAGTTGTGTTTTGACTGAGCATCAAGTGTCCTAACTTTCCCCTTGAACAGCATCTGACAGTAGCCCCAACAGCTGGCAAATCAATCACTGAGATGTTGTTGAAGGAGATCATGTTGAGGTTGGGTATGGTCAGACAAAGATGGACAGAGATGACCACCCAGGAAGAGGCAATGAATGTTGGACAACATGACTGAAGCTAGCCAAGGGAACAATTAGAATATTTGGTGGTCAGTCAACACACAATTTGTGTATGGATTCTAAATGATGAAGAGGTCTTTGGCTGGAGTCAGTTTCTCTGAAACATTAAGCTATATTTCTAGGAAGCTGCAGGATATCAGAAAGGCAAACAACAAAGTTTTGTAATGAAAGAATTGGACACTGCACTCATTTCTATTGAAAAAATCGGACACTACACAGTTTTCTAATGAATAAAGTGGACACTACACAGTGTTGTAATGAAAAAAGCGGACACTACAAAGTGTTGTAATGAAAAAAGCAGACACTACACAATTTTCTATGAAAAAGTCGGACACTACACAATTTTCTAATGAATAAAGCGGACACTACATAGTTTTTTAATGAAAGAAGCGGACACTACACAATTTTTTAATGAATAAAGAGGACACTACAAAATGTTGTAATGAAAAAAGTGGACACTACACAATTTTCTAATGAAAAAAGCGGACACTACACAGTTTTTTAATCAAAAAAGCGGACACTACAAAGTGTTGAAATTAAAAAAGCAGACACTACACAATTTTCTAATGAAAAAAGCGGACACTACAAAGTGTTGAAATTGAAAAAGCGGACACTAAAAAGTGTTTTAATGAAAAAATCGGACACTACACAATTTTCTAATGAATAAAGCGGACACTACAAAGTGTTGTAA